GCCCCGGGGCGGGAGAGGGAGGCGCCGCGCCGCCGCCGCCGCTGCCGGCGCAGCCGGCGAGCATGCCGAGCGGCGCGGTGGCGACGCGGATCGGCTCGCCTTGGTAGAGCCGCAGGTTCCTCACAGGGCTCCGCCCTTCGGTCCCGACCTCCCTGTAAGACACCGTCCAGGAGTAGCGCTGCGGCGCCGGCCCCGGCCGGCACGCGTCACCCTGCGGACCTGCGAGAGACGCAAAGTACAGGCGCCCCGGCCCGCCGGGGTCCGCGGCGCCAGCGAGGCCGGCGTCGGAGCGGTGCGCGATGAGGGAGGAGAGGGGGACAGGGTCGAGGGGGTCGGCCAGGGGCACGCTGCGGATTGCCACCTTGGTGGCGCCGACCCTGCGCGTGTGAGGGGAGGCAAACGCGCATTCGGGGAGCAGTGGTCACCATTGAGGGGGCGGGGGAAAGATATATGTCAGCACATCCAGCGGGGGCCGTAAGCCTGAGCGGTGCGATGGGTCGCAGCGGCGGGACTGGCGTGATGTGTCGGCACTTTAGTTCAGCATGCGCATTGCCGAGCACAACAGCTCCTGTTTTCAAGCCGTTTCTCAAGCAGCTGACCCTGGACCCGCAGCTGGAGCCCTGGCCCCGCAGCTGGAGCGCACCGCTTCCGCAGGGCCTCCGAAAACCCGCCCATCGCCGGGGCGCCGGCGACGCAGAGCAGCGTGCGGTTGGCGACGTCGCCGGCTGATGTGGCCCCGTCGGCGGTGATTTGGTAGACCCCTGCTAGTGGGAAGTTAACGCCTGCGAAGCTGAACGCATCAGGGCCTGCGCACGTTGATGGAGCAGTTAGAAGGTTTAGAGACACACGTGCGGCATGTGATGCCTTTCGTACTGCAAAGGGCGCCGGGGACGGCGGCGGCAGCCAGGCGCGGCGCTGGCTGAACGGCCAATCAGCGCCGGCGCTGGAACGTGTTGTCTGTGCTGAGGCGGCCCCTGAGCAGCGGGGCGGCCCGGCTGACGTGCCAGCGTGGCAGCGCGGCAAGCACCCCCAGGAGTAGCGCAACAACAACGTCTTTCTCTCTTGCTCCAAGGCGGGAAGAGTAGACCCACTTGTGGAGCCAAGAGCGGCTGATGTCGGGCTGCTGCTGGTTGCTGACAGGAAGGTGTCAAGATCGCGGCCTATGGCCGTCAGGTGGATGCCGGGCAACACATCCGGCGCCTGGGCCTGCGGTGCGTTTGTGCAACAGGCGCCGCGCTTTTGGGCTCAAAGCGGGCCGTGTGCTTCAGCACTCTGGCGCCCTGGGCAGCAGCAGAGTCAGCTGCGGGCGGCCTGCGTTCCATTCACTTTCTCAAGCGACCGGCTGCGTGGGCGGCTGTGATCTGCACACACACAATCAAGAGGCCCGGCAGCGCCGCAAGCGATGGAGCATGGAGGGCCGGCGGGCCCGCATCAAGGCAGTAGCTGCCTGGAGCTGCAGACACGCACCTGGAACTGCGAGACTGGTATCCGGCGCAGACTCAGCCCCGGGCCCAGCCGCGTGAAATACACGTACAGGGCGGCCGGCTGCTTGGCAACAACGGGACCGCCGCCGACGCTCCTGACGCCCACCTCTGCTGGGACCGTGACCGTCGCGGCACGCGCGCCCAACAGCAGCGCGAGCGCGGAAAGCAGCGCCAGCAGAGGGGCAGCGGCGCTGCGCGCTGGTGCCGCGGGCGGGCGCCACATGGGTATAGTGCGTTCATGTAGGCGTAACTGATTGTGTTGTGTCATGTAGACGAGGTCTCCGCCGTGCGTCACACCAGCGGTGGGGGCGACCAAAAAAACGATTTCGGCGCCGCCCGCGCTCTTCACACCGCTGCTCGCAGGGTGGGTCGCGGCACGCCTGCAGAGCCGTGGGTGACACCGGTCACGATTCTTTTACAATTACGTTTAAGTACCGTCCTATACAGCGACCTGCGTTCCTGGCGTTGTCACCGCCAGTGACCCGCGACTTTTGAAGGCCTCAGCCGAGTTGGCAGAAACGCGCAGGTCCCGAGCGTAAGTCTTGGCTGTATCGCATGCACGGCGAGGCGAAACAAACGCACCTCTCTTGTATGGTGAAGGCGACGTGAACTTCCTCCAGGAGACAAGAAGGTGCTGAGCGCGGGCACAACTGCGCCGCTGTCCATGCAGCTTGCGGTACATGCGCAGGAGACCTGCAGCAGCTACACGCATGGCATGTTGACGGTCACTACCGTATCAACACTGCTGGGTGTATGTTGCAAGCGAGCTGCGGGGTCGCCAGTGAGTTGGCTGGACTTGGGCTGCTTTCACGCGGCCCTCATGGGCACCGCGTGCCCAGCGTAGCGCAGAGTAACATGAGCAGCCAAGGCCCGTGCCCCCGAAGCATTTCCTACAAGCAGTGCCCGTGCCAGCAGCAGCGGCAGCAGCGGCAGTGGCAGCAGCGGCGGCAACGGCAGCAAGAGCAGCATGCGTACGTTTGTCAAATACAAGGCGTGACAATGTCGGGTGCGTGAAAATCAGTAGTCAGCAGATTATTTGGGGAGGTCCCTAAGCCTCCATCGAGCACTCTCTGGCAGCAACCATAAAAGAAAGCACATTTGATATTGTCAAGGACCCGACAGCCAGCCGACGGCCGGCGAGCAGCACACCCATGGGGGCCAGCCGCGCAAACACCTTCACACTTTATGATGTCCGGCCCGTCAGTCAAAGGCGTCGCCGCCGCTGCGGTCCTTCCGGCGCTCGGAAAGCTCCCGCTCCCCCCTGCCGCCCTTGACGCCCCCGGCGCTCGCCGCCGAGCGCAGCGACGCGAGCCGCTCCCTCGAGCCGCCAAACACCTTCGATGACACCAGCTGCGCGCCGGACGGCAAGCCGTTCAGGACGAGCCATTGGACCGCGCGGCGGCGGCGCAGCCAGAAGATGCCAAGCGCGAGGAGGGCAAACATCAAGGCGATTGCCAGCATGACCCACAGGCCTGCCACCTGGGCATGTGCGTGTGCACGTGTGTGGGTGTGCGTGTGGGTGTGAGGTATGTGTGCCTGTGTGACTGGTTGTGGAGCGCAAATGAATGACCTCTCTGCAGCCGCTGGATGCACCCAACAGAAGCACAGCAGTAAGGCCGCCCGCAGGCGGGGCGAGCGTGCGGGGGCAACCTGCCCAGCCACGTTAAACCGCATAGACAACAGCCGTGCTCCGCTAGCAGGAGCATGTGCAGGTTCCCAGCGCTTCAGATCCCCACGGGCCCCTACCTGATCTAGCTTGACTTGGTTGTTCAGCTGCACTTGAACCTGCCTGCACTTTGTTGTGTCGGCAGCCCGCAGGATCAGGGTGTTGCGAAGCTTCTCGGTCACTCCGCTCTGGATGAGGTCACGGATCACCCTGGGTTGCATGAGTTCATGTGTGAGCATCGATCAGCGTGGCGGAGCGGATGACAGGGGGTTTGCGCAGGGTGGATGTGAGTGGGGCGTCAACTGGCAGGAAAGGTGGGGGGAAAGTTGAAGAAGGGATGGTGCAGCTGTACTATCGCGCTGTGGGCACAGTCCCGCATGCCAACCCCCAGAAATGAGCACACGTGAGGCACACACGCAGAAAGACAGCCTTGCACAAACTCGCATACACACCGACTGAACGGCATATGAAAGCCCAGCACAGCCCACCTGTTCAGATCTCGCTCCAACGGCTCTTGCATGTTGAGGGCCAGCCCATACCCAACATCAGCAAGTGAAAATGGCGTCCCCACCGCGACGAAATCGCAGTCCGTGGCAGCTGTGTTATCAATGAAATTCCTTTTGGAGATAAGGAGGATACAGGTTGGTGGGGTGTGTTGCAGTAAACATCCGTCCGTCTTCGCTCGGAGTAGCACGATGCAAGCAAAGCACTGGGGATCCCGGCAGCGACGCCAAGCCACTACGTGCCACATGCAGAGTTCTGCCTGCTGACCATGCGCCTGAATTAGGATGCGTGAGGAAACGCAAGGCAGCTGATGCACGGCGGGATGACAGGCAGTGGCAGCAGCGGGGGCGAGTGAGCGGGGGCGCGTGAGCAAACCGGCTGGTATGCGATCCAGGCGCTTTAGGTGGTGGAGCAATGCAGCAGCCGACAAACCTGTCAAGCACCAGAGCGTCGATGTCCCCACCCCTCAGTTCTGACAGCATCTTTTCAGAGTTCTCAAAGGAAAGCCTACAGCAAGATTTGGTGGTGCCGGTTTCGGGCCGTTGGTTGCTGTTCGAGGGGGGTCTGGGCGCGACCCGGCAGCTATTGAAACATGCATGCCCACGCACCATCCACCCTGAAGCCTGCCACCCCGCAGCCCAGCGCGGCCACCGCCCACACACGCAGTCCTCGGCGAGGCGAGGCAGGGTGTGGCCCACAAGTCGTTTATTTTTCAATTTCAGAATACCTGCCAAAAGCATGTAAGAAGACCTAGATTCGCAGGCTCACCAGGGCAGACCAATGGCAACAATGCCATTGTCCCGCAGCCGCCCGACGTAGGCCTTCCTGCAAGTGTGTGGGATCATTGGAGGGAGAGGCTGAAACTAGCCGTGCCCCCGGGCATGTGCATTTAGTGGGCTGGTTGATTCGTGTGTGTGTGCATGAGCGCGTGAGCGTGTGTGTGTGCTTGCGCACATGCATGTGTGTGTTTGTGTGTGTGTGTGTGTGTGTGCGTGCGTGCGTACATGCATGTGTGTGTTTGTGTGTGTGTGTATGTGTGTGTGTGTGAGTGTGTGTGTGTGTGTGCGTGCGCGCGCACGCACGGTGCGCGCGGATGCGTGTTGGCGGTTGCGTTTGCTTGCACACGTACGCAAGTATGTGTGCACAGCTGGGGGAGGGAGGACACAGCAATTCCAAACAAGGCAGGGGCGCACCACGTGCCGACGACTTTGCCTGGCAGGTCCTCTAGGCCGTTGATGCCCCCTGTCAGCTGGATGGCCGTCAGCCTTGCCGCCGTGCCACCTGGCGCCGATGTATTTGGGCAGCAGGGCGGGTTGATCAGAAAGACGCGACACATGCCATTGCCGGCGCTGTGCGCTGGGGGGTGCCCTCACAAAACCACAGGCATGGGCAAGCCCGGCTGTTCGGCTCATGTTCTAGCGGACGGGCGCATCGGCGCGCAGACCTGTGTACATGGAGACGATGATTGTTATGAGGAGGCCGTACGCAAAGAGTATTATTTGGGACGGCAGCGACAGCATGTGAGGCGGGTCGTTGATGCGCGCGATCCGCAGCAGTGAGCGGCGCATCTGCATGTCTGCGGGTGCGCGCGGGGTGGGGGTGTGTGTCAGTGTAAGGGGTGACATATGTGGGGTAAAGGTTTGAGGAAGGTCGCCCTCTGCAGTGTTGCTCAAAGGTCCTCTGTGCTTCAGCTGGGTGATGGCATCCGCAGGCAGCTGCGTTTCCTCCCTTCCTTTGCTGTACGCACGCACACATGTATGCACGTGCACATGCACGTTGTAAAAAACATCCGCCCGCCCACACCCACGCTCACACCCACACCTACATCCGCACACACATCCACGCCCACACCCGCACCCATACAAAGACAGCAGGCCGCGCTCTCTGCCCCTACTCACCCAAATCAGTGACCACCTTGCTCTCCTCCCCTTTGCGCACACCCAGCGGCTTCAAAAACCAGTTGCCGCTCGGCGTCTTAGGCTCCTCATCTTTCTCATCCCCGCTCTTATTGCCGCCCCCCTCGCCCGCCTTGCCGATCGCTGCATTGCCGCCCCCCTCGCCGCGCTCGCAGTCCTTTTCCGCCGCCGGCGCGGCGACGGCGGCCAGCGCGTCGGGGGTGCCATTCGCGCCGGGCGCGGCCCCCGAGACCGCGCCGCCGTGCCCGACGACCGAGGCGGGGGCACCCCTTAACGCGCTCAAGTCGTCCCCATCATGCTTTTTGTGGGGGTCGTATGTCCTCTTGATCGACTTCACTGCAACGTCGAAGAACCAGATGCAGGCGCCGACGAAGACGGCGGTGGCTGCCAGGGTGACCCACAGGTGGATCGAGAACGCCTCAAAGGGGCTGAAGGGCGCCCAGGGCACCTCCCGTTTTGCTTTGACCAGGATCTTGAGGCCTGAGGGTGGTGCGAAGGGCGGGGAGCCAGCGGGACGATTGTTGATTAGGGGGGAGTGTCTATGCCGGGGGATTTGAGAGGGCGAAGGGCGCAAATGTGGCGGCTGTAACACCAGCTCAACAAGCTAAGCCTCTCAAAACCCTTGAACACCCTTCTCTCATGCACACGTGCCCTCCTAACACATGGCTCCATGTGCGCACATTCTTGCCTTTCACGTGCAAAACAACCACGCCGCACTCAAAAACGCCCTCTCAGCCCCCCCCCCCCCACCTTCCTTGTCCACCACCCACGATAGCCTCCGCGCCTCAGACGACAGGACGCGAGTCGGCGCTATGAGGCACGTCCCGTTGGGCGAGTTGATGTCCCGCATCAGCTCCTCCCAGGGGATGCAGTCAAAGAACCAGGCGTCGGTGCCGCCGAGCCACGGCAGGGCGAGGGCGACCTGCTCGAACAGGGCAACCTTTGGAGGGTAAAGAGGCGTGGGGTGGCAGCCGGGTAGGGGTTTCGTCTGCAAGAGGATGCGGCGTTTGCGGTTGGGAGGTGGAAAACACGGGCGAGAGGCGGTGTCTGGACGCCGCGTCGAGTTGGCCGTTGAACATCTTTTGTGGGTGCATTGGCTGCTCGTTTTGGACGCCGCTGTGAATGCTGTGGACATGTGTGGGCGCAAGCACCTACGTGCGTGCGTTTGTATTTTTTTGTGACTGTACACGTGCGTGCATGTGCATGTGTGTGTGTGTATGTGTGTGAGAGCGAGAGAGAGTGGAGGGGGGGGCCAGTGCATGCCTGAACGCGCAGACGCGAGCCCGGCGATATATACGTCGGCATGCGCGGGCGTGTGCGCAACATGCCACACCTGGTATCCTTCATATTGATCTTGGTCCGAGCGCCCCAAGCAGATGACCTGTCAGGAAAGCCGGGGCTCGACTCAGCTGAGTTTCTCGACTGTCCGCATCACCAGCCCTCTGGGGCTGCGCTTCAACAAAAGTGCCCTCACAGCGCCATCAAGATTTCTCCCGCCGCACACCTCAGGTCGGAAGTGCGCCAGGCAGATCCTGATCTTGCCTGCGGTGGTGGCAGGTTTGTGAGAGGAAGGGGGGAGGCGGAGGTCGAGCTCGACGCCGCCGCGTGCGCAAGTGTGCGCCCTTCACTTCTGGCGGTCTAATCAAGGGCTGCGCGCCATGCACAGCGGGTGTTCCCAGTGCAAGCCGTAACTGTGGGAATGTTCCAGATCCGCTGCCAGTTGAGCCAGGAGCGCCGGAAGGCCGGCGTGCGAAGAGCAAAGGTTCCGGCGCACCTGCCAGCTACTCAGTGCCCGCCCACCTGCGAACTGGGGCTTGCCAATGGTGCGTGCCTGCGAGGCCGTCAGCCGCCACGTGTCGGCCATCGCCTGCAGCTGCTTTTCAGTTGCATGGACCTGGCCTGGCGCAGTGATTGCCCGGGGCGTTGACTGCAGAGCATCTGCGATCGTTGTTGGCGAGGGCGACGCAGCAAGCGCCGCGGGAGCAGCAGAGGCGCCCGCCTGCACTGAAGGGCTTGGCGTCTGCAGATCAGGTGAAACACATAGTGCTGGTCGAGCGACCAGGACGATGAAAACGAGCCATGAAGAAAGAGCCAAGATCGCCATGACTTTCGGGTGGCTCACGGCTGTTGTTATTAGATGTGTGCTTGCTCGTGTTGCGACTTGACGACGGGTCACCGGCCATATCATGCTTGTCACTCGCCAGGCACCCGATCAATGAATCAACTCGCACTGTGACACCGACCATAATTTGCAGCACGACATGCGCAATCATCTTGATGCGCCTTATCAGCTTTATAACGTGAGCTACACAATGGCCCGCCACCATCAATCCACCATGCTCCGAACCCGCCCAGCAAGCAACTAAGAGCAGCCAAGCGGCGCCCTGGTCGGGCGCGAAAATTCAGTTCTTATCCAGGGTTGTAGGGCTACATGGCAGCAAATGTGGTGGTAACGGCAGGACATGGTTGGTTCCTTGCGAGCACTGCAAGGCCTAGACCGCTGTGCCCGTGGAATCGTGGCGCAGCAAGCACGTGTGCGAAGCGCGTGGGAGATGTTAGGGGGGGGGGGTGGAGGGAGAGGAGGAGCGGGATGCCGGCATCAAATGTCTGTAAATCCTGGTGGTCCCTTATCTCACCATAAATGCGCTGCTGAGCCCAGCACGAACAACGACATGCAGCTAGAAATGTGTTCTGACATCACTCTAGTGCAGGCGACCTAGTCCCCCTGGATGTACAGCACAAAAAGCACCTGAGCCGGCAAGAATTGTGAGTAGCAATAAAACAACACATCCTGTTACAGATCATTAGCACAACAGGGGCGCAAAGTCACTTTGCGCAAGGGCGATTTGTGCCCCGGCATTCATCTAAGCAGAGGACAGGTGAACCGGCGCAGGGCTGGGTAGTGCTGCCACTACATTCTTTCCAAGCTGTAACTGCACTTTCCGCCTGCAGTTGCCTACACGTGGAAAAAATCTATTGATTCAGGTAGCATGCATTGTAATGGAAACCAAGGACAGGTCAAATTGTGTGCATGTGTGTGCAAACAAGAAATGTATTCAGGTCAACAACAGCAACCTCCTGTGTCAGCCAAACACAGCATTTGCAACAGCCTGCAGATGCAACAGCCTGCAGCGGGCCCGTGGATGGTGGATGACAGGGATGCCGGCCTATGACAAACACCATCCTGCATCCCCGGTTCTAACCCCTACTTCTGCAACCCCCTCGATATGCTGGACTTTGCCGAGCCGCCTCGCCTACCCGAACCCCGCACGAACTGACTACTGAACTTGGCGCTCAACTCTTCGCTCCAACCGCGTCATCGCCCACCCGGATGACGATCCTGCCAGCCCCAGGCGCCCCGCGCGCCCCTTCCTCCCCGCCCGCGGCCGCCGCCTCCGCCGCCTCCGCCGCCGCGGCCGCGGCGGCCCTCCCGGCCGCGCCCCGCGGCTTCAGGAACAGCCGCTCTGCCAGGGGCCCGTGGGCCACCCAGGCCCCAAGGACCAGCAGGAGGCACGTGCTCAAGCAGATGACGAGCCCCATGACGACCGTGACCCAAAAGAACCCCCGCTCAGTCTTCTGTATGATCGCCCCCGTCAGCGGCGACCCGACGATGGCTCCAAGGTTCATGACGCCGTCGAAAATCGGGAGCGCAACGACCTCGTGCGGCCCCTTGTGCAGCAGGGCGATTATCGAGGACACCGAGGGGTTGGCCGCAAGGGCGCAGGCCAAGGTTATAATCAGGCTCACGAAGCCGAGGATGGGCGACGCCTGTGCCATGAGGGGGAAGAGCGTGGTGATGACCCCGCTGACCGCGAGCGGCACCGCCGCGTGCAGGAACAGCTCTTGCCGCCGCTGCGCGTGCGCGGCGGCAAGGATCACGGCGGCGGCGCCGACGGCGAAGGGGATGGTGGAGAGGCCGACGGCGGCGAGGCTGCTGCGGGCGGTGCCGCCGGCGGCGGCGCCGGAGGAGAGGGCGCTGTTGGTGATGAGCCCCTTGATGATCAGTGGTGTCCAGTACACGTATGTTGCAGACACGATGCCTGTTGAGCCGGGTGTCGGTAAGTGCAACGGTGAGTTTGAGACGGTATAGTTTGGCGAACTGTACAGTACTCTTTGGTGGCTCGGGTTTGGGGGCTGAAGTCGCGGGGGG